ATCCTCTTTCCGGAGTAGGAAGTACCGGTGCGTATAGGGCTGAGTAGACGCGCAAAACACCGATTACTTGAAGATTTCAAATGCTATTCTTGCCGAAACTTCCGTCTCTTGTGCCAGTAGTGTATACTTAATATCAAATCCGTTGAAGCGGGCACAAAGGGCAAAAAATGATGGAAAACGGGCTGGCGGAGAGCCAAACCGAGCCCTCCTGACACGCCCCAGCGTCTGCAGCGAAATAGCCTAGAGAGCTCCTTTTTTGCAGGATGTGCAGTGAGGGCTTCAACAATTTTGGATACGAGTGCAAGTTGGCGACTACATGTTATTACATCGGAGATGCTTATTTTCTCTTGGGAGATTGCAAACAAGCCCTTCAGTACCTCTTGAGGGTGAGGAGAACTATTAAATGAAAAATTGTTGAATTTCTTTTTGATCAGCTGTACAGGGATTTCTAGGCTAAGGAAATTGGAGAGCAGTTTGATGACAATCATCTGAAGCAACTGATCTACTCAAAATTAAGTAGTACCTATGTACTTTTGTCCGAAGGTCAACTTGCTAACAAATTTAGCAGGTATTCTACACATACGGACCAATAAAGGACGCGTGCGGTTGCGTCACGGTATCGCCTATGGTGTGCGAAATTTGCTTTACAACCATAGCTATTCGCTACATGGAGCGTCAATATGAAGAAGAAGAGGCCATCTAATCAATCCCTAGCTAGCATCTGTTCCTGATTTTCAAGGAAATGTCATAAGCCGTGACGCGACCGCCCGCTACACTAATGTGCAGAAGGTGTCTGAGAACGTGGATGTGAAGTTATTGTTCCAGAGAAGCCGTCAAAACCAGGATTCGCATCAAAGAGGAGAAGACTTGCACGTGCAGTAAGGAAGTTTCTGTCACATCCCATGAGCAGCTTCATGAACTGTGGAGTACGTGCCTATAATATTTGTGAATTTTCATGTTTACAAACCTAATAATTACCTCTACTAACCCGTCACCCCTTCGACCAATTCCTCACCGATGGTTGCTTACCTCGAAGCGCTTACCTCGAAGCGGTGCAAGGAGCGTTGCTCCCCAAATGCGGCAAATGGGGCGAAACGTTGCAAGGGGAGGGGGGAGGTAAAGTGCGCAGCATTCACGATCCAAAGGACCGCCAACGGCCACCTTCACACATGAAAGACGGCGGCGCTGCGCGTCGCGTTCCCAATCCCGAACCGTGACACACGTGGCGAATGGATGTATTCTTTCACACCCTACGGAGCGGGTTCAAACATCAATTATCAGTTTTTAATAATTCCATGTCCGCATTAAACATTTCTGGCTAAGGAAAGCTTTGGGAGGCTAAGAAATTAACAAAAACATAAGCCCACAAACAAACCATAATGCCTGGAAACATAAGCCCAGAACGCTACAGTTTCGTTCGCATTGTACTCGATGAAGGTGGCGTGTCAAGCGAGATGGTCTTGAGTGCGGCTCATGGCCATGCTCCGTTTTTTCACAAGCGTGACAGCAAGCCAAGCGACAAATCTACATAAGTTCGCATCTCCTCTGTTTCCAACGCACAACTGTTGCTCGCGGCTTTCCTTCAACAATTGGTGGAGATACAGGGTCCGGCGCCGTGCCCACCCCATCCGCCCTGACACGCCCCTTCTTTGGCAAGGCTGTGTACTGTGTAGCTACACAAGCCTAGCTAACGAGTTGTGTAGCTTTTCGGAAGCTGAATGAAACACCTTCTATCAACTACGTAGTACATTTTCGTGGTTCAGAAACAGTTGAATTGCGTGACGCCTATCAGAGGGCGTTGGTCCAGTCCGTGACCTCTTCCGTCAGCGTGAATCCTAACGATTTCGTCTCAGGAAACGGGTTTTCCCCAGCACTAACCCTGGCACCCAACGGGATGCCAACCTGATAGGCGGGGTACGTGGGCAAGCGGCAGGCATGGGCTGCCCATCAGTTTGAGTTTCTCCATACGGCTAGGACGAGTGTTCCAACACCCGAAAGCTCATCCGAGCGCTTGAAATTAGGCGAGTCAGGAGTGCAGAGGGCCTTATTTGGGGGGCGTTCTCTCTAACTTCGTGAGCTAATAGTTTGGAACACTCCGTCGGTTGCTTTCTGGATTACTTATCGTTTTGGAAAAAAATAACATAATTCCGCTCGAATTTATTTCAGCGTCTCGGCAATGGAAGCAGACTTTACGACAGCAAAATGATCTGTGAATTTCTGCACAGCTGACGGAAATCAGCTGTATAGCATGTAACAAAGAAAAAGTGTTCATCAAGAATAAAAGGGCCTACAACTGTTAGCCAATTCTGTTCCACAACGACACTATAATTTCTTTTTGATGTTTCCCATCAGCTTGTTTGTCTAGAGGTGACTTTGGCACAGTCTAAAAGTCCATTCTCGAGCGGAAGACGAAATCAATAAGAACGATCCTTTCTAAATTTGTTCGCACAGACCCGCAGAGTTCGGTCGTGTTCCGGTGCAAGGCGATATTGGCCGGGTGTGCATCTTCGCGTCGAATTGGAGACGCAACCAAGGACGGAACCAATGATGCCATCCTCGCCCGCTACAAATGGTGGAAAATCTGCCCTGTCTGCGCTTTGCGCCGCGCCCCGTCGCAGCCCTATCGTTGGTGGGGATCATGACTTTACATGGTTGTGCTTTACTCGAATGGCCGCTTTTGGGCGACTAAGTGGCGGAAAAGAGCGTTGTTCGCACATGAAGGGGGGGCGGGAAATAATTATACTATTCCCATAGGAGACGTAAGCTTAGTATATGCATGAATGAAGCCTCCACCGCCACAATCGACAAACAGGACCGCTCAGCGCTCTGTAAGTGTGCCACGTGCGGCGGCTCATTCCGCGACCAGCTATAACTCCGTATCCTAGAGATGAAGTGAAGCGTGGCGTATTTGAGCACGGCATGGCATTTGAGCACGGCACAGAAAGGGTCACTCGTGGGATTCTTCAGTTTGAGACAACTGTCATCTTGTTCTGTATTGGATGGAGACACGACCACAATTGTGTCAAAATGGAAATATTTCCTCCAAAAGCACAGTAACCGCCACGTTTAGTTGAAAAACGCAGCCACGCCTACCCCATCTCTGGGATTTCGAGTGTAGTTATGCAGTACTCTGCTGGTTTGCGCGCGCTGTTGTGAATAAGAAGTCGCGAACCACACCACTCTTTTTGATTCGTTGTTGTCCACGTAACGACGTGCAGTGGTCACAAGAACGCCGAGTTAGGGGCAAAAACCTTGACCCCGAGTTGAACTCGAACCCCCACCCCACTCTTTCCGGGCGAGTGCGTTATCAGTTATGCACTCGCTTCTCGGCGCGCTGTGGTCAACTCTTTTGCCCACAACTGAGCAGTCCTTAGATAGCTATTGCAATGCAAGCTGCGGTGTTAAAGGCAGTTGGCACGATAAATCTCCAAGACGAGTAGGATTAGTATGCTTGACAGAACGGCCCGCGACCCGGAGCAGGCGCTGCATAGCTGGTACCCAAGGGAGGTACCCTTATAGGCCCTATCAAGCTGCAACATACCAACCCGGACCGCGCCCGCCCGCCCACAAATGGACGACCGTACCTGATGCTCGTATTGCTTCATTTGCGAAGTAAAATATGAAGCGAAGGGATTGATATGAAGCGGCTGCGGTGCTGCATGGATATATGAGTACATACGTGCAGCCGTACCTACCGTAGCGGTTATTGGCAAGATGCCTACGGGAAACTCGTCCGAAATCGCTTTTTGAGTCATTAAGAACGAAGGCTTTTCTTCGCAGGTTTTTGACCATTTCACTTCGTTTTTCCTATTTCCCCACTATATAAGGCCCTACTAGCATTTTAGGCATTTTAGTGCAGCGGTCCAACGTCTAGTGATGGGGCACGTTCGGCCGTAGAGCCTCAAATAGCACGATTATATCGCTCCAGCCACGAAGTGTAAACCCGCCCTAGGCATCCTAGTTGTGCTATTTCAAAATTTTACACGTTCGCGAAGGAAAGAGCTCTTGAAGCCTACAGTAGCTCGCACAGGAGTATTCTTGAAGAGCCATATTACTCCCAACAGAACGAGACCGCCACTCTCCCACCAGAACTGGGCATGTTTGGTGTTATTACTGCCGCGACTGGCGCTCTCTTCTAGTAGAATGTTTGTTTAGCCCTATACTGGTATATCGGGCCCTATCTGTGATGAAAGAGCACTAAACTAACCCGGACCGTCTCAGGGCACATGTCAACCGGAAAGCTTCTCCCCTCCTTCCTTTTTTCCTCCTTCCTTCTTTTTCTTCCTTCCTTCTCTGATCCCTCCTCCTTTACCTTCCCCTTCAACTGCTGGACTGGTAGATGCCCCGTGAAATTAGCCCTGGACGCAGCGAGAGATCGTCTGGTTGACATCTGCCCCGTAACCGCTACGGACACCTCGTTACTGATGGCGATGACGAATGCGCGTCAGTCAAAATGCTTTTCCGTGTATCACACAAACTCATCTATTTCACGGCAGATTGCCACTTTCTGCTTGACGTGCGAATGCCCTTTGTTTTGTCGCAGTTTTCGTTATAACGTATCATAACATTGCAGGTGATTGCTTTTTGAATCGCTCACTAAAGTCTCAAGCTTTGGTTGGATGATCGTTTTCCTGTTTTGTTTCTCTTAAAAAGGTTTTAGATTGATGTAAATCAATGTCCTCGTTCTACGACGAAGACGACGATGATGCTGGAGATTATTCCTATGGATTGGACGATAGCAACGATGGTGAAGCTAGACCTACAGTTGTGTTGATGGGACAGAAAAGGTTTGATATTTTTCTCGTGTATGATTTAACACCCTTTCTTCCTTATGTTCAGTTATAATAGAGGACGCTTGGAATTCTGATAAGACATTGCTTTGTTCTGGTTTATTCGCATGAGTGAACGCCTCGCATTTCGTACAAAGTTTCAGCCATCCTAATCCTGAAAGGGCGCGGTTTCCATGAGAATGTCACGATTGTCTTATCACTAGGTGGAAGATTAGTCGGCACGCTCACTTGGGCAAGAAAACATCAGTTCCCCCTTGTAACAGCCTGGGTATCCAACAGTGGCAGATTTTATGTTCGGTTTCATTAAACCCGGGTATATAAAAGGATAAAGTCTTCGCCGTTGATCAATCCCTTTGTGGGATGCGGCACGCATTCTACTTCGAATCGTAGTGGCTTATTGAATGCGATGTGGCCTATACAATGACTTGCGGGGCCAGCCGCTGTACATGTCAGTTTTGTCAGTTTTAATATCCTCCCAGACGAATCTATCAATTTACCGTCCCCGGAGGGCAGAAGGCTTGGTTGGCCTGGAGCGGGCGTCGACCCGGGATTCGAACCCGGGACCGCGCGAGTGGTAAGTGCGGTACCCGTCAAGAAAAACTCCGCCTATATAAACCCCGGTATGTAGGTGGAGTTTTCTTGAAACTGCTTGTTTGATTGGTTCTGGGGGACATCCTGTACTCGATCGGCGAATCCTCCTCGTGAAAGATCTGAAAGTGACTCGGGTCGAGGCTATTAGGTAAAACCCTTGTGATTTTGAATAGAACCTTCAACCAACCCAAATAATGGATGATCTCATGAAGGAGACCAGCCCTGACTGTTTGTACCGCAGTCGAATCTCAAAGGATATCGTTGGGGCGCGTCTGTACATTGCGTCTCGGAAGAATATGAAAATTGGTCGCCTGCCCTCAGGAGGGATAGGCGAAAAAGAACAGTTGGAAATTGATTCACTCCGGGCGCAGCGACTCCCTAGAATAGTGTTATCGACGCGCAAGAAAGCTCGCGCTACCGACCGTAACCTACTAGTTCTATCAAGGGCATGTCCTGCCCGCCTTAGGGAAAAGTTTGCAAAGTACGACCCCCAGAATTTCGACCTGCGGTTCGACCCCCCCCCATCCCTCATCTCCTTCATCCTACCTGCCATCTTCTTGAACTCTCCCAACACCACTTCCAACGACTTCCGTTTTTTTACAGAAACTCTCTCCACCGGCCCCAACAAACTGCCGTTACGGGCGGCGGGGGGGGGGGGAAGAGGAAGTGTGGTAATCATAATTAACTAGAATAGAATAATATCAAACACGATAAACCGAAAAAAGGTCAGAATGGTAATCGAAAGTGAACGTTTCTCAAAGGCAAATGTGCGAATGGGATTCCCCTCCCACCAGCAGCCAAATAAGACTCTCCCCTTGCTGTTATCCCTAACGTTCGGACGTGCCCTGCTCCCACCTACTCCATTGTCGCCACCCTCCTGAGACGTCGAGTCGCCAAGTCTCCTATGCTGTCATGTCGCAAAGTATGAACGCGTCCTGAAGAACGAGGTTTTGCGAAACACCTTAAACTGTCAGGCGTGATGTGTGAAACTATACTTTGTGATTTCACAGTGAAGTTCAGGACAGAAGGACAGGAACTCAGGTGTAACAATCTTGCCCTGATTTTGTTTGTTCAGCTTTGAATTCGGAAATGTGATAGAAAACGCAGCTGACACGACTTTCCTTCCGACGTTCGTCACATTAGTTTCGATAATTCCAGGAGTGGAAAGACGTCGATACGAAAAGTAGTGTTCCAAAAAATGTCGCCAAATGAAACACTGTTCGTTGAAAGCACTGCCCGCGTTACCAAAGATGGTATGTACCACTCCTTCCTATGTATGTCACACGTGCTCTGATTTCAATCTTAAGAATCAACTTTTCCAGTGATAGCCTCATCGTTTATAAATTTCGAAACGCTAGAATTCCCTGGACAAATGGACCCTTTCGACAGTTCACTCGACCCTGTAGCAACATTCAAACGATGTGGTTAGTTCACTTTCGTTCTTTTTACGACGACGAAGTACAGCTGCAGGAAAAAAAAACTTGGAACAAGCCACAAAATCGAACTTCTTCAAAAACTTCTGAAGCTCTTATCCAACAGCAAAACAGCAGAAAGGTACGCATAAAACGAGGATTCAACAGGTTAAAGCTATGAAGCGCCATAAATTTGGTTTGCTTATTATTGGACTTGGTTAGAGCCTTCATCATCCGTGAAATCGACTCCACAGGAGCTTCAGGGGTATCCTTCAGGGGTCAGTTCCAAATTCCTTGAAATGCATGGAAACTGCTCACTCTTGTTGGTGGTCTTCTTCCCTTTGACTCATGCTTCAAGTCATCTCAAAGATGCCTGATGGGGTTGAGGTGAAGGCTTTTACTCGGTCATTTTGTCATCCTGATGCTGACCTTGGGTGCCGGAACCTAGATCTCACGTACTTTTGTGTTTGCTTAGGGTTCTCTTTTCTGATTTGGAAGCATGCTCCGGGCATACTTCATCTATACCCACGATATTTCGGTACACAAGTCAAGGAAAATCAAAAAATAATTTGGTAGAAAATTCCGATTTTTTTGGCTTCTTCCAAGTTTTTTTTTTCGCAGCTGTAGTTTGAGGGGTGGGAATTGGCAGCACGCTTGAGTCTCTTTTCCTAGCCCAAAGTTCAGGCTTAGTAGAGCGCAGAGGACTAGATCCCCGCGATCTGGTCTCGCTGAGGTGCTAGCTGCGCTCCAGCGTGTCTCCCTTGAGCTACTCCCCTTTTCTCTCGTCAGTTGCCTTTCCTTGTTTCCTTTTTCATCAAAAAAAGTTTCTGATACCTCCCTAACTTTTTTCGTTTTATAGCAGGTCACCGTTCTTGTGTCA